GGGAGCCGCTGCCCGCCACGCTGCGCATCACGGGCTACCGCAGGTAGGGCTGGGGCTGCTGCCCTGGGGACCTGCCCCGGGCACCGCGGGGGCGGGATGCTGTCCGGGAGAAGGGGTGCCTGAGCCAGCTGCTCCACTGGGACGCGTCCCCGCCCGCCGCAGGGGGGCTGGAACTAGGTGATCCTTAGGGGTCCCTTCCAGTGTAAACCATCCCGTGGTTCTGTGGTTCTCCATCCGATGTCCCTCTGCACGTCTGTCGCATGCAGCCATGCCAAAGAGATTCTCCACTGCTTGAAGGAAAAATACTTCAGGGAGCTGCAGAACCTGGAGGTGGATGGTCAAAAAGTCGAGATGCCACAGTCGCTGAGCTGGTGAGTGGTCTGGAGGCGAGTTAAGGCACCCTTCCTGACATCCTGCCTGGTGTGTTGCTCTCTTTATTCTGCTTCTGCCCTTTTCCTGTCTCTTTTCCACCAGGTATCCGGAAGAGTTAGCCTGGCACACTAACTTGAGTAGAAAAATCTTACGCAAGTCCCCACAACTGGAAAAGTTTCATCAATTTCTGGTTAGCGAGACAGAGTGTGTAAGTTTTGGATAGATTTTGATTTTTTTCTTTCATGTCCTGAACAGTGCTTTATTGAATTACATTATGAGAGAGTGAGACTTTACCTTTTCTCTCAAAAGTTGAGTAACTCAGAAGAATCTGGATTTTATGTTGCTGTTGACTGTGATTCATCCCACAACTCTGGTGCATAACCGCAGCTACACGTATTTTTCCTAAACTAATTGCAGTTTTTTTGTGGTTGTTTGGCGATGCTAAAACGAGTCCCTGTAAAATAATTAGTTGCTGTTAGAAACCAGATGTTTAAATCTGGTAAAAAGTGCATGTGTGTGCATGACAAGACTTAGCTTAAGCGATGGGAGTTTGTCACTTGGTTGAAGCCAGTTTCTCATCTCTTTTGAGCAGAAACTACATCTGTAGAATTAATACAATTGGAGTAAATATGCAATTATCAGAAAATACACTTGTGTGAATACTGTGATTGCTTTTTTTGTTAAATTCTAGTAAAATTTAAACCTAGATTTATAGTAGTGTGTTTCTGACTGCTTTCTTATTTTACTACATAGTGATTTAAAAATTTTATTGCAAAAGAAGTGCATTGTTTTGTGAATAAAAACATATTTAATTTCTTTTTTCCTTTCAAGGGAAATATCAGTCGTCAGGAGGCTGTTAGTATGATCCCACCTCTGCTGCTTAATGTTAGCCCTCATCATAAGGTAACTAGAATATAATGTGTACTAAAGCTTTTTCCCTGAACTTAGTTAGATTAAACTACACATCGCAACAGCAGTATCAATGCTGATACACAGTTCTGTTTTGTGTTGGTGTGTTTTAGGCTTTCTGCACATCAACAGCAATACTCAACTAGCGTTCATATCACAAACACAGTGAACATCTGCTTTTTCAGCTGTATGTACTACCCTTTAAGAAACACTTAGGTTTTAAGTAGTTGCATAGTCTTATTTTCAAAGTGTAAATGTGTTCAGCTGCATTTGAGTTACATATTCATGTTTCAACGTACTTTTAAAGTAAGATGACTGTTTTTAACTTCCTGCTCTCCATCACACTGTGAACCAGATGTAATTTTCCAGATTCAAATGATAATGTTCTCTACCAGATAGATTTCACTCCTCTATGCCTTTTGAAGAAGTTGCAAATTTCTGCTCTATAAATGTGTTAGGCAAAATAATTTGGGTGAATTGAAACACAGTACTGGTGATGGCTGAACACTATAGGGTGCTAACTTTAACGGAGGTGTCTAAGGAATGCCCATGATATTTTCCAATAGCGGACTGTAGGAATGGGGATATCTGGTAGCAAACTTTCTATTCTAACTTCTGTGATGTTTTCATACTTTATGCTTGCTTGCAGACTAAATCTGTCAGGTGGCTTATTCTCTTGATCTCTTAAATTAATTAGCTAGTTGCCTTGTTACCTTAAGCAGTCATGTTGTGTTCTTTCTTAAGTTTTCATGACATATCTTAAAATTTTAAGTTTTTCAAACTTCCGACATGTTTTAAAGCCTAGTTTGTAACTACTTGTTTTTATATTAACATTACCTAGCATATGTAGTGTTTCATCTTATCTTCTCCTGCTTTCACCCCAACCCAATGTATGTCACAGGACTGATGTGAGTCAAGGTCTTCTCATCTCTCTTAAGTGAATAATGAATTGAAAGACTCAGTCCTGATGTGTCATTTTCAGTTTTGTCTGGAGTTGAGCAGGTAGTGAACATGTTCAACTTAATGTAAAACACAAACTGTGGGAATATTTTTGCACACACATTGTATATGCTAAGCCAGCAGTATACGGATTTTACATTGAATATTTAACTTGGGTGACTGTATTTCAGCAGGCATTTTCCAGAAATGAGTGTAAGATTTCACAGGTTTGCTCATAAGTCAGGCTTAGAATAGATTCTTTATCCTGTCTTGTGCCAAGACAGCAAATAACTGCTGTAACAATGACAGCAACTCTTGTCATTTAGGACTTTTTCTGGTCCTTAGTGTCTTAGTTTCTGAGCTGCTTGTTATGACCAGAACTGCAGGTTACTTTTTATGCTTAAACCAGCATGTTCTGTACATAATGTCTTATGTGCTGATTCCATGTTGTACAAGGATCAACTTAGTGACTGTCAAGCCTCTCCATGTCTGTGTTCATTTTAAATCTATTTTTCACAATTTAGTTTTCCTCACCATCATTTTGGTGGCAAGTTTTAGAGCACGTTTAGCTTTGTATATTCTTCATTATCTTTTCATATTACCTGCAAAACTAGAAAACAATAGCATCACAACTGTTACTTTAAAGAGCACATATGATGTCATTGTACTGAGTGCATTTCATGATGGGTTAGCACTTTACTATGTGCTCTTTGGAGCTCTCTTTGCTTTTCTCTGGGGGCTGTCTTCTAGTT